TCAAAGACAAAACTTTTCATTTCATGAAGCTCATTTAAAAGTCAAGGACTGGCCCTTGTTCTCCTTTCTTTACCCTTCAGGCAAGATGGGTTTGAGGAAATTCTTGGCAAATGAGTGGGACACACTTGGGGGCCTTTGTCTGGTTAGTGTGCTCCACCCCACTGAGATACCGGTGTGACATTTGAGAGTTTGGGCAGAAACCACCAGCAAGGAGGCAGGAAGAACCAGCAAGGAAGGCCATGTTGTCCACAAGCTACAGACTACAAGCACAGCTACCTCCAAGCATAACCACCTCCCTGAGGAGGGTTACCAACCTGAAAGCCACATGCAGGGGCTTAAAGCCAGCTGGGTTGTACTTGTTGAACCCAGAGCCTCAGCCACGTCAACCCTGAGGAAGGGGTGCCTGCTCTAACTGACCTGCTCTGAGCAGATACTTTTCCTAATCTACCCAAAGCACGGTATGTGCTAGCTGTGGCCCAGCCACCAGGCCTTGCTTAAGCAGACACTGTGTTCCCTAGTCTGGGCCTCTCCTGTGTGAATAATTCAGAAACAGGCAGTTTATCACTTGTTCCACTTGGGTTTAGCTTTTTCATTTTCCAGTTTCTACCCATACTTCTTGTTTTGGCTGTTAGGTACAATATGGACAGAAGAGATACCACAGACTGGAGGAACAAGAGAGTCTTGTATGCCCTGACTTTCCTCAATTACCTCTCTTTCTCTCTCCTTGCAAAATCAGGATCTATTACAGAGAAGGCCAAGACTGCCCACCCCTCTGTAAAGACTTTAAGTTTCTGTCCTGCCTCCACTCCCTCCATCTCCTCAAGGTGGGATCCTACACCCCCAGACCAAATTGCCCTGAGTGTTTACACAGCTTAGTAGACACAATGGCCAGGCCAGAATGGCATGAAAGGGATGATGACCTTGCACTCTGAAGAAGGTTCCTTATATCCGTCTGTAAGGAGCTGAAGAGGTCCCCAGTAGACAAGGGCCTGAGCAGTGTTCCACACCAAGAGGACAGCATGCTCAGAGATGGGGAGGCTCAGGGAGGCATAGCACACCTGGAAAAGAGAGGAAAGGTAAAATGAGGTGAGAGAGAGAGAGAGAGAGAGAGAGAGAGAGATACATTTGGAGAGAAAGAATGGGCCAGTAAGCATTTCATACAAACTTTATAAAATTTTTCCAGAAAGTATTTTACCCAGATAAAAGTCCCCTGTGCACCCCGTCACACACCCTCTGTTTGGTTAGAAATATTCACTAAAGGGGAACAGAAGTCATCCCACGGTACAAGACTTCCCTTTAGCTCAGAAACCAGACTGTCCATATTTACACTTGGTGGGTCCTTGTCTCTGTTCTTGCGGTTTTACCTAAGAATGGACAGGCAAAGGAGTATGATCATAGTAATTAATGGCTAATGAGTGATGACTTTACTTTCACAATGAGGGCTTAGAGCACAGCTTCCTGTGTCTGGTCTTGGAGGAACACATGAGGTCAGTCTACCCTGATGACACTGTACCTAGCTGTGTGGGGGATTTCACAGTTCTGCACTTCTGGGGCTGCAGCACAAGCCTCGCTTCGCCCCGTGAGTTACAGAGGTGGTAGTGAAACCTCTTCAAGAAAAGTGATAATATATGTGGCTTTTGCCACTAGGTATGATTCCAGAACACAGTAAACAATAAGAGGTAAAGTCTTACATAGTCTCAAGAGAATAGTATTTCCTAACCTTAATGGTGTCAACATTTTGGACTAGACAATTTTTTTTCAGAGATGTTGCCTAACTATGTAGCCCAGACTGACCATGAACTCACAATCCTCCTGCCTTAGTTTCCCCAGTAGCTGGGACTACAGGCAGGAACCTCTGTTCCTGGCTCTAGACAACTCTTTGTTGTGGGGTTGTCCTGTGCATTGGAGGGTGTTCAGGTTAGGAGAGCCTCCTGGTTTTGACAACAAAAATGGCACCAGACATTACAAAATGTCCCCCTGGTGCTATCGTTTGGATACGATTTGAGGGTGTCCTCCAAAGTTTCTTATGTTGGAAGCTTGGTCCCAGTGTGGTGGTGTTGAGGTTGTGAAATCTTTAAGAGTGGGACCTAATAATGGGAGGTAATCAGGACATTGGGGTTACTGCCCTGGGAAGGGATTAGTGTTGTTATCAAGGGACCCTGCTAACTTCCTGTGAGATTGAGTTTAAAAAGAGTTAGCTTAGCCCCTGAATTGCTCTGACTTCCTGTCTCACCATGCAGTGTCTTTCAGAATTGCTCCTACCATTATGATGCTCTCTGCTATAAGGCACTCCTCATCAGATGTTGAGCAGATGAGGTTGCCTAATTGTGTACTTTCAGCCTCTAAAAAATTTAAGCTGGGTACTGGTGGCTCATGCCTGTAATCCTAGATATTCAAGAGGCAGCGATCAGGAGGATCGAGGTTCAAAGCCAGCCCTGGGCAAATAGTAGCCCCAGGCAAATAGTTCATGAGACCCTATCTTGAAGATATCCAGTACCAAAAAAGGGTTGGTGGGGTGGCTCAAGTGGTAGAGTGCCTGCCTAGCAAGCCTGAGGCCCTGAGTTCTAGTCCCAGTACTCTTAAAAAAAATAAAAGAATTGAACTAAAAAAATCTCTTTTTTTTATCCAGCCATGGGTACGCAGACCTGAACCCATTGTCCACTCGATAACTATGGTGCTAAGTCCTTTATGTGTAGAAAGTTCATTTAATCCCCCAAACCAATGAGGTCACTGTTCTCACTCCCTTCTCATATACTAAGAAGCCCGAGATCACATAATGAACTGCAGATTCTGAACTGAGGAGACTGGTTTCTAAGCCTGTGTTCCTAAGTACTGTGACCATGTATGCTCAGGTGCCCAACATGTCAGATTCTGCTCTAGGTGAACCACAGTTTCAACATTCGATTCATAACATCGTATCTTTAGAAAGCAGGGTGTTCAGTGGTCACAATGATCAAAAGCAGGAAGCCCACAAAAGTCATCAGGGAATAAGAAACAAGAGTAGCTCAGTCAGATTCCTGGTTTTCAAAAGTTCTGTGGGGATTCCACAAGTACATGCAACCTATCAGGAAGTCATTGTGGTTACTTAAAAATAAAACAACAGCTTTTCCCCAATTTATATGGATTATTTTGCAATATGGCTACTAAGCTATTAGGATACAAAGTCTTACTGAATCATTTCGATGCAGCTACTTAATAAAGGGAACTGTCAGGTGGTTCTTTTGGCCTAGAGGTGCCATGAAGGCTACATGAATGGAGAAAAGTTTAGCAGTCTCTGTACACATTATTTTGCCATTGGAGAGTAATGGCCATCCATTCCGGGGAAACTTCTTTCTGTACCACATCAACCTGTGATAATAGAATCTCTCTCTCTCTGTCTCTCCCCACCCCCCCTTTTCCCTCACACAAAATCTAATGTCCCTTACTCCAATCAGACAGTTGCCAAAAATCCCATCTGAGTTTCCTTTATTTCAATCTTTTACCTTTTTCCAGCTGTGTCAGAAATCAAACTGGTTTTGCTTTTCAACTTGAACCTAGACAAGGCTTGAGCTGAGCACCTCCTAGCTGATCTGCCCTTCAGGTGAGAAGTCACATTGTCCATTCAGGCCCACATGACAGTAATAAGCAGACACACAAGGCAGCCCCTTCATGACAGCACTTCAGACTGGCACACAGAGACAACTGCACACAGAAACAATTGCAAGACAGTATGAGCAACTGGGAGGGGCCTGGGAGTATGGCAAAGGCGAGAAGGGGTGAGGATATGGCTGGTGGGAGGGAGCTGGAGGGGAAGTGACCACTGGGTCTTGGGCCACGTTCACACTTTTCCCTTTCTAACTGTCTCACTTACTAGAATAGCAGACTAGACAGCAGCTGTGTGGTAGAAACAGGGGGCGAGGGTGAGCAGGTGACCTGGCTTTTATTACTAACCAGGGGCACTCTTGCTGGACCTGTTTCTTCCTCTGTGACAGGATTGGATTGCCTAGTACTCCTCATACTGGGTGCCTGAGGCACATTCACAGCTTGTGTGTGTGTGTAACTGACAGCCAGGAATATCTCTTTCTGGGATGTCAAATTTATTCAAAATTTTGGAGGGCTGCCCTTTCTACAAGAAAGCATTTTATATATTGTTCACGATGCAAAAACTTACATACATTTTAATTATACTACTAATGCTTGATAACATTTAATGTGTGGTTGCTGTGTGCTGAGTGTCATGTTAATATCTCTCTCTCTCTCTCTCTCTCTCTCTCTCTCTCTCTCTCTCTCTAATGGGGATCAAACCCAGGGACTAAAGAATGCTGGCAAGGGCTCTCTACCACTGAGCCACATCCCCAGCTCTGTGCTTAACTCTTTATGTGATCCTCACAATATCCTAATGAGGTAATTCTACACATGAAAACATGGAGCATAGAGAGATTGATCCTCTTCAACTCACATTAAGTAATGATAAAAAAAACCCCAAAAAACCAAAAACTCCCCCCCTCCAAAAAATAAATCTGGGCCCATTACAAGTTGCTTTGGGATCTACCTCCAACCTGAGAGGCTTCTTAGGAAGGCCTGAATGACGCAGGTCAAAGCAATCCCCAAACTTCAGCTCTAACCCTCTGAAATCAATTTTAGTTAAATCGGTGAATAAGCAACTTTGCACGCCGCTCCGGTGTCCTTGGAGATGACAGAGGCTGTGGCGGCTCCGCGAGTGGGGGGAGGTTCCTGAAGTTCTCTGGGTAGGGTTTTCTGGCCTCTTGGGAGTTCCAAAACTGTCCAAGGGCTTGAGGGCCCAGCCTCCCCCGGCGTTTGCAGCCGGTGTTGCGGGGCACTCCCTCGTTCCCGCGCGCCCCGTACGCAGCTCCCTACGCCCAGCTCTGCCGCTCCTCTGTTGGGAGGGGGCCAGAAGGGAGGTGTCGCAATCGCGTCCCTCCCTCTTTCCCAGCCTTGGCACTCAGTTACTTCTCAGATGAGCGCGGTCGCAGACTGCGGCGGGTGGCCGGGCACCCGGCATGTCCCCCGAGTGTGCGCAGACGCTGGGCACCGGCGCGCCGCGCAGCCTGAACTCAGCCAACCGCACCCGCTTCTCTTTCTTCTCTGATGTCAAGGGCGACCACTGGCTGGTGCTGAGCGCCCTAGAGACCACTGTGCTAGCGCTTATTTTTGCGGTGTCGCTGCTGGGCAACGTGTGCTCCCTGGTGCTGGTGGCGCGCCGACGGCGCCGCGGCACGACAGCCAACCTGGTTCTCAATCTCTTCTGCGCCGACCTGCTCTTCATCAGCGCCATCCCGCTAGTGCTAGTCGTGCGCTGGACCGAAGCCTGGGTGCTCGGCCCTGTCGTCTGCCACCTGCTCTTCTACGTGATGACCCTGAGCGGCAGCGTCACCATCCTCACACTGGCCGCGGTCAGCCTGGAGCGCATGGTGTGCATCGTGCGCCTGCAGCGCGGGGTGCGCGGCCCCGGGCGGCGTGTGCAGGCGGCGCTGCTCGCGTTCATCTGGGGTTACTCCGGAGTCGCCGCGCTGCCACTATGCATCTTCTTCCGCGTGGTCCCGCAGCTGCTCCCCGGCGCAGACCAGGTGAGCACCCCGCTGTGAGCACTGCGACAGGTGTCGGGGCGGGGATCCAACAGTGAGCTCGGATGATGATGATTAGGAACAAGAGGCCATTTGTTGCACTTAATGGTTATATCAGACCTGTGCCCAGCGCTGTGAAGTTTACTTTCTTAAATCTCACTAGAACCCTGGGATGTAGGTACATAAACGCCCTCCCAAACGCTGTAAGTGGAGTCCCCCAATTCTTGCATAATGCAGTGACTATTGCGAGGTTAATTGAACAGGGACCTCTGGAATCAGACAGAACTTTGGGGGTGCGAAATGGCTGATTGCATTGTACTAAACTCTGTATTCTCGCCAGGTGTTACACTACTTTTATTATCACACCAGCTTTACAGATGGGGAAGCTGAGGCACACAAAGGAATACTAATTTGTCCAGAGTATCTCACCCTTAACTCAAGGAAGAGTTGGAGTTGTGCCCAGAAGTTTCCGTGCAGGTAGGGTTAGGGCTCCTCTTTGAAAGCCTGCAGGCAGGAGTGCAGGAAGCTAGGGAGAAAAGAAGGGCACTGGAGACCCAAGAATCCCTGCTCTAAGGGACTTGTAACTTCCTTTCCCTGATGCTCAGTTTTTCCAACTGCAAGATAGACGGAAGGATTCCACTAGACCACAAGATCTTACCCAGTGAGCCTGGGACAAGGGTGCCTCAGTGTATTCTGGACACCCACAGGACAGAAGAGCTTTATTCTAGACTGTGTGCCAAAAGTTGTCATGAGAGTTATGGAGGGGTCCCTAAAGGACTATTCAAACAGTGCAACATTGGCTTGGCTTTCCTGGGGTTCCACAGCCCAGGATTCTGGGTGCTGGTCTGTTTTCTGGGGCTGCAGGGTTTGCGCACTGAGATCCACGACGCTTCAGACCTGGGTGCAGGCTGAGGTGGAACACAGAGGCCAGCAGTTTTGGCTGTCTTTCCCCTGTGTTTCGTTCTCCTCTATACCTCGAGAAGAGAGTTGGGGGAAAGGACAGGACCTTGCGCACTGTGAAGGCGCTAAGTGTCACTCCTAGCTCGGCTTTCACGGAGGGTCTCCCCTTTTGCTACGTAGGTCACTGGTTTTCTGGCACTGGGGCTGGAACTGTCACCCCAGGCCTTAGAATGGGGCCCTTAGCAGTATGGCACAAACAATTGCAGTCCTCAAAAGATGTCCATATAGTGGTGGGAGTTGGAAGGGGAATGTCCTAGGGAAGGCTTCATGCTCTGAGGGTAGTCCCACCAGGGATGTGGCTGGACACAGAGGAAGCTTCTGGGGTGGGGGGTGTCCCCAGACCAACCACACAGGCCTTTTTATTGTGGGGAGGATGGATGGAGGCAGGCTGTATCCTGGGTAAGCAGTATCTTTAAAAAAAAAATCAGAAAATGAAAACATAAATCAAACCTACAAATCTGTTCCTAATGGTTTATTTCTTGCTTGGAATACATTCTGGGGTGTTGTTTATGGCTTTAAATGACTAATGAGCCGGAATGTATCAGGCCTATGACACTTAATCAAAGAACATGTAAGCCTATGACCATGTCCCCCTCAGGAGGGGCTAGGAGAACCAGGATTAGCTAAATTGGTGAGCGCTATTGGCCTGGGGAGACCAAAGACTCAAGTGCAGTGGGCAATCTTGTCTTTAGACCTGATGCTGTACACCTGAGTGTCAAGGGGGCCACGGAGATGATTCTGGAATAAGTGAAAGTCCAGCTAATGGGATCATCTGGGAGCTAAGATCTGCCATTTGTTGTTGTTGCTGTTGTTGTTAGTGGTGTTTGTTTTGTTGGCAGTATTGGGTTTGAACTCAGAGCCTTGGGCTTGCTACTACCACTTGAATCATGCCTCCCAGTCTCTCTCCCCTTTCTGTAAAAAGAAAAATTATCCTCTCCCTGAGTTACACTATTGGTGTATTTTTCAAAGAACTTGAGGGATTTCTCTCCATTCTTTTCCTAACAGAGAAAAAAATGTGGCTCAGAAAATTCCAACCAAATAGAACATATCTTAAATTTTCAGATGTGTGTGTTGTACCCTCCCTTTTACAATTGTTTCAGGCACAACCCTACAGAACTGGCAAATAACACTAAGAAAGGAGACTCTTGTCTCTCCCACACAAAACCCCAGACTAAAGCTGTTGGCTAAGGAGGGTAGGGGTGGTTGAGCAAGAAGGTCTGCATAGATGGGAGACCTTCTGTGTCTTGGCCACGCTGTATTTGACCCCTGGTAGGAAATGTGTGCAGTGCTAGCCCTCTAGCATTTCCAAAATGGCGGGTCGTGGAGCTATGTGCTATGGCGGGTGGGTGCCCAGATCCCTCTTGTCTTGCAAGAAAGCTGTTTAGAGGTTGGGGCTAGCTGAATGAGTTACCTGTAGTAACCCTGTTTATTGAAATTAGTAGAGGTGGGATCGGGGAACTTGGAATGAGAACAAGGTAATAGTCCCTTCTGTTTCTCCATCTTGTAGAAGACATCTCACCTCTACTTACCTCTCGCTGTCTCCTTTTCCTTTCTCATTGAGGAATTCTCTCTCTGAGTTTAGTATGCAGTAGACTCCTCTCAACCAAGGTTTTACTTTCTGCAGTTTTAGGTACCCTTGGTTTCATTTACCCATGGATGCTTAAGGTCAAAAATTTTTAAGTAGAAAATTTCAGCAACAAAAATTCTTAAAGTTTTAAATAACTTTTTATTACAGTATATTGTTATGATTATTGTATTTTATCATTAGTTTTTGGTTAATCTCTAATTGTACCTAACTTACAAATTAAATTTTTATCATAACGATATGTTTATAGGAAAAATCATAGTATATGTAGGGTTCAGTACTGTCTTTGGTTTCAAGCATCTATTGGGGGTCTTGGAACACACCCATATTGAGAATAAGTGAGGGTGTTACTGTGTTCTCTATTTTCTGTACTTCTGCCAAGGAAGCCAACAGAGAAACTTCCGGTTCCTCAAAGGTTGTTGCCTGAGGTTGTGAGAACACCCTACTTTATAAGCTTAGCAGTTGAAGAGATAAATTGAAAAAAATGAGAGGCAGAAAAAAATGGGTGGGGGAAGTATGGCCACTTAAAAAAAAAAAAAAGGGACAGAGAAGGATCTGGTCTAGACTGGGGCGAGTTTCACATTTAAAATTAGCAAAGGCTTGTTTTCTCAGACCTCAGATTAACAGCTTCCTGCTTACAGATCCTGCCTGTCCTTTCTCACTTGGACACTAAATATGGATGTTTTGTATGGGAATATATTCCTTCCCAAACCATGTGCTGAGAGACCCAACTCCAAGCACATTCAGTTCCCTCCCTCAAGCAGCACTGGTCAGGGAAACAGTGACCCTTAGACCCCTGTAAAACAGGAGCACAGTGGTCTTTGTCTATTTGAGCTGTGGGTACCTAGCCATTCAGGGTGATGAGACTAAAAAGTCACCACAGGGAAATGAGCTGGATGATTTGGTGTGTAGAGTGTAGGCTTTAGAGTCAAAAGTTCAAGCTTGAATCCCATCTCTGGATCACTCAGGAGCTGCGTGACAAAGGTCAAACTGTCCCCTTCTCTATACCTCACTTTCCTTATTTGCAAAATGGACATGAGAACAGTATCAACCATAGAGCATTGCCGTGGGAACTCGTGCTCAGTAAATGGACCAACACCTGGCACTTACATGGTTAAGTGCTCAAGAATTGCTAGCTATTATTAGTTTCCTTATCTTTGGGCATAAACATTTTAAACATTCTTTAAACACTGTAATTCTTCTGATTGCTGTGAAATAACAGGCTGCCATTTTAAGAGAGTGGACACAACCTAGCAACGTTGACATCTCAGCCAGGTGAGCTCAGCCTTTTCCAATGAGATGCCTGCTGTGTGTGCCATGGCCCTGGTTGGGTGGTGACCCATGCTGGTGGTAGGGAAGATTGTCCACCTTGGCCCGAATGAGCTGTGCATTCACTGTACAAACATTTACTGAGCACCCCTGCCCTGTCACCCTGCCACAAGCCATGTAAGTGCATTTCGGGAAGTATATTTAGGCCCAGACCCTGGCCTAATTCTATAGTCCAATAGAGTCTATAATTCAGTAACCCCACAAGTAGGTGTTCTCATGTTTATTTTCTGAAAGAAGAAATGATGAAACTTAAAGCAGGCAAAGGATGGTTCCAGAATGTAGACTGGTTCTTTCCGGTTTCTCTGGGCGCCGTCTCCCCTGAATTCATACTTCCTTAGGGTGCTTAGTTTCTCTGCTTCACCTCTGCCTGATATTTTTTTAACCAGGCCTGTGTTGTTATTGTGTCTGTACTTAGTGTGGAGTGTCTGAGGACACAAGCACTGCTCGTTCACCTTTATTAATAAACATTAAAGAATACATTGAAAATGTTGGAAAGTCAGTTCATCTCTTACGTTGCTGTTTTCTTTTCTGTGGGGGAAGTTGATAAAAGTACAGATGTCCAATGAGGATTCCTCATTCCTTAAAACAACCTTGACGTCTTCCATTTTGTTTGAAGAGCTAGGTCAGGGAGATGATTTGTACAGGGGTTCTCCCCGCCCCTCAGGATGCCACAGTTAGAATTGTTAGAGAGGCTCCAAGGAAAACAGCAGGACTCAGAGACATTTGCAAATAATGTCTCTCCAAAGTGGTGAGAGACCAGCCCTTGAGCAGACACCACAGATAAATGTCCCACCCACTGGGGAGTCTTAGAAAACCCCTTCATTGGACACTTTTGTACTAAGTGTCCAATGTGCACCAGGCATCATCCTAGGTGCCAGGCTGTGCCCTTGAATAAGACACTTCATCCCAGCCCTTGGAAGCACACTTCTGTGGGGGTCCTGACAGGAAGCCAGATAATGACTGCACAGGTTCAGAAAGCTGTGGAAGGGACTCTTGAAGGCCCCTGAAAGACAGCGTGTCTCCTCTGGTGTGCAGAAGAAAGGAAGAGGCAAGACAAGGACATGAGGGACTGGAGGGCATCACAGACAGAGGAAGTAGCCAAGGGAGCACTCGCTGCTCTGAGTCCTGCAGGGGGCCCTGCACCAGGCTTGTGTACAGAGGTAGTGCTGGACAAGATGACAGGACTAGCAGAAGAACCAGGGTTGACCTTTACAGAGTTTGGGCTCACCTGGTGTGAGAGACATGGACATCTGGGATGGGGAGGCCAGTGAGAACAAAAAGGGGGACAGCTATTAGGATACCTCAGAGTTTTCTTCTAGCGGGGAGGAATTGGGAAGGGAAAAGCCTGGAGAATGGCTGTTAGGTGCCCTGATTTAGTGAGTACAGGAAATACCGGGCTGTGAGGCCTCCTGTAGAGATGTCCTCCTGGCGGTGGGTTGAGTCTGGGGTTGGGAGAGCAATGGGCAGAAGAGGCTGGACTGGATCGTCTGCACAAAGAAGCCATGAGAAGGGATGAGTGGCTGGGGAAAGGGGAGTTTGGGCTGGAGAATGGGAGTCACACTTACCCTTCACTGGACCTGGCCTCCACCCTTGTCCCTTCTAGTTCTGACACCTGAGCTCTACCTCCCCAGTCCCTGGCCCAGACCCCACCACCCTCATCCTTCTAGGCACAGCTGAAAAAGCCCCTTATGGAGACAGCTTTCCAGGTGTCACTTCTGCCTCCCTGTCCTGGGCTGAAGTTTCCTGGTGTTCCTCCCCGTCCCCCAGTCCACCCCTACGACTGCACCCTAACTTCCTGGAGGGCAGAGTCAAAGCCTTGCATATCCTCCCTGCGGCCTCCAAGTGGCTCAGCCACTGTTTCTGGAAAATGGGAGAGTTAAAGAATGACTTGAAGAGCACTGTTGCTGATGCTGCCACTTCCTGTAGTTCAGGAACGAGCCAGGCCTAGCACTTTTGCTTTTCGAATTTCCTTTATAAAATCAGGAAACATTTCAGAGGTGCAGGACAAATACAGAGTATATGATAGCACTTAGTTGCCACCTTCCAGTTTTGACATGTTGCCTGCCTCCTCTAGACCCTACAGTGTGCAGAAGACTTATCAGGTGGCTTTCCCCATAGAAATAAACTTAGAACACTAACTCAGATCTCCGATTATCTGCATGGTACCCTTATTTTTTTCCCTAATCCTCATAGGCACTGTATTTGATCATCAGTACCACACAATGCCTTTTGCAGATCTTATAAATCTGTCACTCTGGCTGTTCCCACTGCCTGCAAATTCACCTTGGTGCTGTGCAGAGTTCTCATCCCACTTCCCTGTCACACTTCCTTCCTGGAGTGAAAGCCACAAACCAGAAGGCGAAAGGGCACCTTCATTGTGGAATTTGGGGAGCTTCTGGGATGGGCACATTGGCTGTGCTTGTTAGGTTTGCTCAGCTATCATTGGGGTCTGTGATGACCATTTTTCCTAAAAGCAAACTTTTATTATCACTTTCTTTTTCCTTCCTTCCTTTCTCTCTCCCTTCCTCCCATCCTCCTTGTTCTCCCCCTCCCTATCTTTCTTTCTTTCCTTTTTTTGGATAATACTGGGATTTGAACTCAGGGCCTAGTTCTTGCTAGGCAGGTGCTCTACTATTTGAGTAATGCCCCAGCCCTTTTTGCTTCAGCTGTTTTTTGGATAGGGTCTCACATTTCTGCCTCGGACTGGTCTGTGACCTCCATCTTCTTACCTGTGATCTCCCACACTAGGAATACAGATGAGCACCACCATGTCCAGCTTATGAGTTGAGGTGGTGGTGAGACCACTTCACTAACTTTTTGCCCAGGCTGGCCTGGAACAGAGATCCTCCCAATTTCTGCCTCCCAAATTGCTGGGGTTACAGGCTTATACCACTATGGCTGGCCCTTCATTTTCTTTCTCTTTTATTAAAAAAAATAGGTGCATAATGAAAAATTTTAAAAACTTAGATAAGCCAAAAGAATAAAAGTAACTGAGAGTCCCCCCTAGAAGCACACACTGCTGGCTTTCTGCAGTATACTCTTCCAGTCTTTTTCTATGTGTGTGTATATGCACAAGTATGTATGTATGTATATATGTATACTTATTCATTCATTCATACATACATGTTATCTTCAACATGCTGGGATCGTACAGGTGTAACCTAGGTAACAAACGAAGAGAGATTCTTAATGATAATGAATTTATTCAAGAATGGACATTGAAACAGAAATATGTGTGCAATAGTAAACTATGTGCATTATCAATGGGATCAAGGTGGTTGGAGCAAGGGAACACTTTTTGGTGGCACTGGGGTTTGAACTCAGGACCTCACACTTGCCAGGCAAGTGCTCCACCACTTGAACCACACCCCTAAGCCCTTTTGATTTTTAGTTATTTTGTGAAGAGGGTCTTGTGTTTATGTCAGGGCTGGCCTGGACCATTACCCTCCTATTTATTCTTCCTGCGTAGCTGGGGTGACAGGTGTGTACCACCATGCCCAGATTTTATTAGTTGAAATGGAATCTCATGAACTTTTTGCTGGGGGAGGCAGGGTTTCTTCTTGATCTCTGTCTCCTGAGTAGCTAGGATTACAGGAGTGAGCCACCAGCTATGTGCCAAGGAGACATTTTTAAAGGCAGAATACAGAGGATTGCATAAGTTATTTTGAAATCAACACCCTTGGCTACAAGGACAGGCAGTTGCTAGGCTAGTGTTCCTTCAGAAGTATTTCTTTTGGGTAAGGGTGTGGTTCTAGCAGAATCTTTGTGAAAGTTATTGTTATCAGACATCTATACAGGAGATCCTCTCCTTCATAATCTCCTGGCTTCATTCATTCATTCATTCATTCATGCTAGAGTTGACCTAAGCAACTCCATTTTGAGTCTTTTTGCCAGACATATTTTTTTGTACCTAACACAGGAAGAGCATCTTGCTCTACTGCACATTTTTCTACAACATCTTCTTAAGCCTGGAGTGATTTTGGTTGCTACCTGGAGCAGGCTTTTAGAAAGAGTTGGGGTCCAGGAGGACTTAATGGTCCTGAGGTCATGGTTTTCTACTCTCCCTATACATTTTTTCCATTGCAATTGTGAGAATTAGAGACCAAGTCACACTTAGGACTGGAACCCCTTTCTTCTGATTAGCACTTTGGCCTACCTGCCCCTCCCTGTGGTCATCAAGACGCCATGGTGGGCAGAGGTCTGAGTACAATGGGGGCTATGTGGACTGTTGAAAGGGCAGCATTCAGAAGACCCTGGAGAGACACAGCTTCTTTCCAATCACCAGAACATGGGAAGATTTAATACTCTTCCTCTGGTCAGGAGTGGATGGTGAGGGCAGAAGACACATTTTTAGGATGTCCAGTCCATTTGTGAGCCGCTTAACAAAACAGGAAAAAGAAGCATCGCCCTCATCTCCCTCTTCAAGGTACAAATACAATTGAAACATTCTTCCCCACTTTTCTTGCCCTCAACAGTCTTCTTGGTGGGTCCCAGGATGTTTTCTGTAATTCCATAGCTTGGGGGGAGGAGGAACATTGTCATTAAAAATATTTTGAAGCTTCAGTTTCCTCCTTTGTATAATGAGGAAAATAGCAGTGTGCCTTCAACAAGGTTGTTGTGAGCATTAAATGAGATAATGTATGTAAAGTGATTCCTACTACACAATAAATGTCTAATGAATAGTAGATGCTGCTGTTTCCTGCTAATACTGAATAGGAAAATGAGTGGCTATTTGACTGTATTTTTAGTTTGACCTCAGAACTTCTTTGCTTTTCCCTACTATATATAGCATCCAAGAAATACTGGTTGAATGAATGAATGAATGAATGAATATTGCTGTGGACCTTAGTTCAAATGCCTTGCCCACCAATGATGTGGTCTTCTTACATAACTCTTAAAGATCTGTTCCACAGATCTAGAAGGTTTGAGGCAGCTTGTTTTCTGAATAGCTTTATTCCTTAGTCAAATGGGCACAGGAAGTGTGTGCTTGGGAATATACACACACAGGTATACATTCTATTTTCATTGACATGTTCATTGGGTGGAAGAAATCGTTGTGATAGAAGAGTTGTTACTGTTCAGTGAGGTTTTCCTGTGTTGCTGGTTTGGTAGATGGCCAAACATTTGAATTCAACACAACATGGTGACAACAGCAAGTTGATCAACGCTCAGGCTGTGCTGCTGCATCCCAGTGGCTTTCCATCTGGAACCCTGAGGCCCTGAGGCTGTGGCTTATCCTTAAGCTTCACCTGAGGTCAGCTGTCTCAAGTCTGGGCACCATATTGTCTTCTTGAAGTAACTGACTGGATTTTTTCATGCAATTTGACACACTATATTTGCTTTGTATTTTGGTTTTGTTTGTATGTTGTTTTCCTAAGATGGGTTCTCACTATGTTGCCTGGGCTAATCTCAAACTCCTGGGCTCAAGTAGTTCTCCTGCCTCAATCTCAAGGAGCTGGACTACTGGCCTGCACCTGACTCTGACACACTTTAGATTACTGAAAGCCCACCAAATAAACACTTAATGCCTTAGCATAGACCCTGTCACCTTTGGCAAAATGTGACTGAATTTGAACCTTGATCCTGTCTCTCTGTGCTTGTGTGTAGCACGTCACTTCCAGTCTATATAACTTTCTGAAGTCAATTTTCTCATTTTTTTTTTTAAAAAGCAGGGTTGGAAGAGAAGGCTTGGATGCTCTTTATATCCTGGCCCAGGGAAGTGGAAAGACTCACAGCTGGAAACTACTTCCAACTCTTCTAAGACTATGACCCTGAGGCTCAGTTGTTTCCTTGGATAATAGGAACAATAACTTATGGGTACTTTGAGGGTCAGAGTCCTTGGTAACAGGGGTTGACATGAGCAAGGGATTTGGAGGATTTACTGTCACACTGGTGTGTCACACAACGTGTGTAACCGTGCCAGGTAGTCCCCAACTAGGACTGAGCTAAAGGCCAAAGAAGAAGGCAGCATTTAAGTGACATTCTTTTCCCTTTTGTAACTAGGAAATTCCGATTTGCACACTGTTTTGGCCCAGCATCGCTGGAGAAATCTCGTGGGATGTGTCTTTTGTTACTTTGAACTTCCTGGTGCCAGGACTGGTCATTGTGATCAGTTACTCGAAAATTTTACAGGTATGTTTGTTTCAAGTGCTGCAGCTGAGTTACACTCACTATACTTGGGTTCTGAGCATTTCTGGTAGAATTTTAGAACTTCCGGGTCAGGATTTACCATAGAGGTCACTCCAGTTCAATCTTAACTCACTGACCAGATCCTACCCCCTCCTGCAACATGGAGGAATAAGAGTTGGTGTGTGTGGTTTTTTTCCCCAAATAACTTATGCCTCTGTGATGTTTTTTCCTCATCACTAAAGCAATATAAGTTCATTATTAAAAAAATTAAAAACAGGCACAGAACTATGTAACTCAGAAACTGAAAATCTGTACTATCCCCAGTCTTACCAACTCATGTATTTTTTTCAGGTTATTTTTCCTACATACACTTATATAATATGTATATTATATATAGTGTATATATAAATATATATAATATATATATTATATATACTGTGTGTATGTTTGATGAATCACATGAAATTGCATTAAAATGTCAATGGTTATTGACATGGTTCATTGTCCTTTTCAGATATCATATCATACTATTTACTCTGTGGCTTTCTTTTTTCACTCCACGCTATATCACAGCATCTTTCTGTATCAGTTCCTGTATGTTAGCTTGTTATTTGTAAGGACTGCATGGCCTTCCTTCATACAGACATGATATAATCATTTTATAGACTTTTGGGTGTGCCCATTGTTTCCCCATCTCACACACAGCAGGGATCTGGAATGCACACATTTTAAGACTTTTTATGGACGTGTCATATACCAATAGGAAAGCATACCCAGCTTATGTGTTCTGCTCACATATTGAACATGTCATAAAAGCAGCCCAGGATGGAGAAAGATAACCTGGCCAGAAGCCCTTCCTTTTACCTCAGACTGCTGTCCCCTGGGAACACCATTTCAGATTGTACAGCAAGGAAATAAATGATGTCTACCCTCAAAGCAAACATGTGCAAGGACATAAAAAAGATGGGTAGCCTGTGCTTCCTGCCTACTTGCATGGAAGGTGCTGCCCAGAAAACACATGTGTATGCTTCTGCCCATTGTAGAAGGTGTACTTCGAAGGCTTTGTGCCCTCTGGAGATGTGCAGTGTTGAATCTTGGTTTTATAGCGTGTTATGTGTGGGTCATCTGACAAATAATAGTATTGATGTAGAAGGGCCCTGCTTGCTGTCCAATCACTTTTATGGCCCTTTCTCTGTAGCTGAGGACCTAGAACCTTCTTATATGCTCAGAACCTAAAGCCAGGCCAACCTCCATTTAGATCTTCTAGTTCTGGTTCTGTGGAAGTCTTCCAGGTTACCACCCAGAATCTTCCCTACCAGCTGACTCGTGATCCCTAAAAAGACCTGTATCCTAGGGCTTGTTCAAGTGTATGAGGCCAGTTGAGACCCAGAGTTAAGGCCTAGAAAATGCAATGGGGGCCTGATATATTTTAATGTTACAAAAGTGTTAGTTATTGGCATTAAGTTAAAAGAAAGAAAGTGAGGGAAAAGTGAAGAGAAATGTAGAATGGATTTAAAATTTATTATTTTGCAAATACTTATGTGGTATTTGTTGTGTACCAATAATGGACTCATTTCATCCCAATGAGAATTACAGATGCAAAAACCCAGGCACAGAGAGATTATGTAATTTATCCAAGGTCACAGAGCATCAGGATTTAAACCCAAATAGTTGGGTCCCAGAGTCCCAACAATTTGATTCCTCAGACAATTGTTAAGAAGAGTCTGCTCTGTGCAAAGTGGGGACTGCAGAGGTGTCAGGAGTGTGAAAGTTACATCATCTAGAAGGAACTTAGACACAAAAGAGGGAGAGGGAGATGAAGGTGCTGCTCTTTAGAGCAAGAAACCCTGGAGCACAAGGTAGGGTGAGGCTCAGACCCTATGAACTGTCAAATACTGCACAAGTGTGAAGGGTGAGGGGTACAAAGGAGGAAAGTGAACCCCATGGAGGCCAGGAAGGGTTATTTTAACCTGGCTTTGAGTCTTGAATCTACTTCTTACTTGCTGTGGGCCCTTTGGCCAGTTACTTTACACCTTCTGAGCCTCAGATCCCTCTGCAAAATAGTAGTCGTAATTCCATCACTCTGACTTATTTGTCTTCAAAGCACTTACAGCCCCTGTTGTTCTATTTATGCTCATTCACCTGTGTTTCATCGGTCTTGCCCACTAGAATGCAGACTCCATGGGGGCAGAGACTTAGATTTGTTCACTGCTGTGTCTCTGTGCCTGGTGCAGAGCCTGGGGGGTTCACCAGAAGTGCTCAATAAATACTTGTGGAGTGAGTGAGGCATGAACCTCAGATCCCATTGACAGGGCCCATGGAGCCCTTCTGTGCGGGAGCAGTGGGGAGTATCACTGAACACAGAGCCTTAAGACTGGGGTTCTAAACCAAGATTTCTTACTATGTGACCTTGGATAAGTCGCTTAACTAATGTGGGCCTCAGTTTCCCCTGGAGACAATAAGCTTTCATGGATTGATTAACACAATAAGGTGAAAAATGCAGATATCATGTTTGTGAGATCACAATGTTGATGTAAATATAAAGGTTTTTGAAATTTTACTTTCTCCCCACTAGCAAAATTGACTGTTTCCCTTTTCCCAGGAGGACTATGACATTTGTCCTCACTTGGTACCTATGAGTTTGCGAAGCTGGCACCTAAGAAGCAGGTGAGCGGCTGCCACGCAGATGAAGTGGCTGGACAGGGCCTTAGAGTTCACATGTCCTCCCCCTGGAAGTGTCCACAGCTCAGAGACACTGAATCCCCTCCCTGCCCAAGATTTTTCTCCCAAGAGCATGACGCTGTGTGATCCACTAACCATTGAGGTTAATTTGTCATGCGCTAGGACACAGACCCACTCTCCCACACCCTTCCCCACGAGTCCTGCCTTCTCACCTGACTCTACTACCTTTATAAGCGTCTATCTCTGGGCTGGAGAAATGCCCTTGCCCTCTCAAAACTACCCTTTCTTTTATTACTCCAAAGCAGAGTGTCTTGGAGTGCTCTGCACTGGTCCATGGGATGTTAGTATTACATGGTCAAATGAGTTTGGGAAATACTGAGATAACCCAAGTTAGATGGAATTCTTTGCTACATATACTAATGCTAATAATATTCTTTGGGACTCCCCGACACAGGACTCAACCAGGCAGCATTGCTAAATTAGACCACAGAACCCCCTTTTATCTATAGAGCATCTCTCTAGGCTGGTGTTCCATGGAAGTCTCTTTGGGAAGCTCTGTCCTGACCTGGGCAAGAATTCAAAGTAGGCATCACCTTGGCTCCTCCCCCACCAATCACACTTCCGTACCTGCTTCACCTATACAGGCCAGTGGCCATATTCAGCTTCTGCCTTCCCTGCTTCCTCTTTCCTTGTTACTCAGACATGCTTTACATTTTTAGTTTTTTTTTTTTCTCAATTGACAGTTTTCCCAAGGGAATAGCCTCACAGGCATTCCTTAGTGCTGTCAGGGATGGCTGGTTGGGGCTCAGTTTACATGGTCACCAGCAACTGTTGCCACGAAGAGGTGAGATGCCCTTACCCTTTGTAACTGTGCATGTGTATTGTTCCCACTCCCCACATACACACTGGAATGGTAGTGCAGGGTGGGCAGGGTTCCCTTGCTTATTACTGTGTAATAAAAGTGCTTAGTGCACAGTAGGGGCTCAACAAATACTTGTTAAATGAGCCAGTGAGTCTATGGCTTGCACTTGGAAAGCCTTCAGCCTATCTCATGTTTCAACTGAACATGAAGTTGTTAGTGAACAGGAAGCACTTCTCCCATGGCTGGCCCTCACTCCTCAGCTTTGGGGATGGTGGTCATGGACAGAGATGACCTTCTGGCTGGGTGCCAGTGGCTCACGCCTGTAATCCTAGCTACTCATGAGGCAGAGATCAGGAGGAGCGAGGTTTGAAGCCAGCCCCTGGACAAATAGTTCACAAGACCCTATCCTGAAAATATCCATTACAAAAACGGGCTGGTGGAGTAGCTCAAGGTGTAGGCCCTGAGCTCAAATCCCAGTACCGCAAATAGTAATAATAAATTAAAAAAAGAAAAAAAGAGAGGACCTTCTAGGAAGATGGAGTCCCTTAGCTGGTAATTCCAATTAGGATGCTATTGATTGACCAAGCAGCCCCCAAAAGGAGATTCATCTACGAGGGGCCCAACCTTTGTCAATGGGAACTTCCTTCACCTCTCAGCAACCATAGTCTGGTGGTATGGCATGGCAAAGTGGTGTGAGGTGGGGAGAAGGCTCCCTCATGATATTGAGAAGTTCATGTGGCTGTAAAGGAAGAGAGTCTCAAAAAGATAGGTTTTTGTTTTTCATGGTAGTGGAATTAAAAATTCCAGTTGCCAGGCAGGTACTCTACCACTTGAGCCACATCTCTAGTCCTCCAATAGATAGTTCTTCATTGAAAGAGACTCTCTCAAAGGACTGGGGAGAAAATGGTTAGCATTTCCTAACTGTTACCCTAGGTTAGTAGTGTAACAGTGAGCAAGAATTACCTGGGTTGTTCAGGGAATGTACAGGTCCTGATCCCCCTCAGCCCCACAGAATCTAGATGTCTGAAGGTAGGTCCAGTTGGACATTTGCATTTTGTCAGGTATCCAGTGTCAATGGAAGACATTGTGCAGGATCAGTGCCCTTCCTCCCGGCTGGCAGCATGCCGTGGTGGAGAAGAGCACAGACCCTCACTTGACAGGGAGGCTGAAGCAAGTCACTTCACCTCTCAGAGCCTCGATTTTAGTTCCCAGGGGGTAACCCCAGGACCTACCCCACAGGCTTGTTTTGAGGATTAGAGTTAATCTCACAAGTTAATCAAGCTCATCAAACATTTCATCCAATGCCAGAGATGTTTGAAATTCTGGCTAAATGCTGATTAGCCTTGACCTCCAGTATGGGAGGGGAGCAAGGAAGGAACCATATTTGATTACAATGCCCCATTTTCTTCCTCACTTCGACGAATCATGGGGACTATGGAGAGAAGGAAACAGTAGCATCTGTCAGTGCTAAAAAAAGACCAAACCTTTGATGAAGTTGGCCGTGAGTCAGCCACTATTAGGCACCAGCTAGAATCAGGAGCTCTAGTCTGGTGGGGGTCAGAGGCGAGAATGATGCTGGAACACCCACCACACAGTCCATGTGGCAGGTGACTGGCAACAATGCGATGCAAGGATGCCAAGTGGGAGATGAACCAGGAGGGCTGCTCGAAGTTCCTGGAAGGAGAGCTCAGAGTTAAAGACAGGGCAGACAGATTTCTGTTGATGGAGACAGTAGAGAGTGGGAAGCAGATTGTTTAAGATTACGAGCACAGGCTGGCGACAGACTGCCAAGCTTGAAGCCCAGCTCTGCAACTTCTTAGCAGGGTCTGTTTGGGCAAGTCCTTGAGCTCTTTGAGCTTCGGTTTCCTACCAGGTACCTGTGTCACAGAATGCAGGGAGACTTCAGAGAGGTAAGCCAAGTGACAGGTAAGAGCCTGGCACACAGTAAGTGCTCAGTGAATGTGAGCTCCCATCAATCTCATTCATTAAAAAACACTCAAGAGTCACTATTACCAAGGACTCTGGATGCACCGTTACTCTTCTTGGTGGGATAGGGTGGGCAGCACAAGAGTGAAGCTACTATTGCAATCAGTCCTCACGTGCCACCTAAGCCACTTTCACTCATGTGCCCACACTAAGTGTGCCTGAGCCACCTGAGACACTTCTATTCAGAGGCAGTGCTATTTCCCCTGTAGCCCACCTGCCTGCCACCCTGCCCAGCTGTTCTTCTCCTAGACCTATCAGCCAAGATAGGTACCAACTTTCACCTGCACAGCAGCTTCCAGACCTGGATGTGCCCATATGACCCCCCAGCACTGGAGTCTGAGATGGTGGATTATGTCTGCTGCGTGCACCCCACACACAGGCAGGGGAGCAAATGGGAGGGCTGAGCCTTTTATGATACGGCTAATCGTTAACTCCACTGAGCTGGATTTTCACAGATGGGGACTGTCACCATTAATTATTCACGGAGTGACCTTCAATAAGTAACTTAAATTTCCTGAGACTCAATCTGCTCATCTGTAAAACAGGAGTAGCAATGAATGGTATAAATGCAAGGAGCAGTTGTGAAGATCGAATATGACAATTTATGAAGTGAATGTGTAGCACTGGTGCAGGGCACGTGGAGAGCTCTCAGGAAAGCTCAGAGATCCTAATTAATCTTGTCCTGGTTGTTCAGGAGCTTAGGGAGGGCATCTGTTCACTTGGTACTTGCTGTTCTTGTCTGCATCACTGAGAGGGGGAGCAACCAACCATGTGTAATCATGAAACAATTAAACATCTGTCCTTTAATTAGAGAATTAGAGGTATTTGAAGAAGAACATGTTAAACCCTTCTGATCTTGGAGTTAAACTTGCCCAAATTCTGAATGATGCCAATTACCTTCTAATTACATCCCCTCTTGAGATTCAGGAATCTTAGGACAATGGGCCCAGGAGGCCAGCACAGAGCTAACAGTGTGGCTGGTCTCCAGATGACATAAGCACTACTGTGTGGTTAGCAGCTCTTTCTACAGGAAGAGCAGGACATAAGCAAGTGGAAGTTAGTGAGGACAGCTGCTATGGTCAGGACATTCCACCCTGCCTCTCTTCCCTGGGGACAGAGATCACAGACTGACATGTCAGGTTTATAGATACAATGTCCATAGCATCCCAGGCTAGCTGTGCACTGATAGACCTCACCCACCTTCAACAGCCCACCTCACTCTGCCCCTTGGTGTTACTGAAGCTGAGTGAGTGACAGGCCTTCTCCCTTCTGGCTGTGCCTGAGGATGATTAGAATTAACCAGAAGGGCAGGACAGTTTATGTCTCCTGGGACATTCAGAACCTGAGCACTAGATCCTTTCCAGCCACCCAGTGGTCACTAACCCAGCTGTCCACCACCCTGCACTGGAAGCAACACTTAATGGTAGCCCCCCTGTCTCTTTGGACTCAGCTTCAGGGTCATTTGCTGTGTGACTTGAACACTTGCAAGTTTCCTGTTTTCCACGTAGCTTGGCTATAGCATCACTCAGGTTGCTGTTTCCTCACCTGTACAAAGAGGGGTGGCTAGGCCCTGTTGACTCAAAGTGTGGTCTTTGGACCAGCAGCAGCAGTAGTGATGGCAAAATTTTGCATTAAAAAGGCAGCATCTCAGCTGGCTCTAGACCTGCTAAGAATCTGCATTCAAATAAGGTCATGCTGGGTGCCTCCTGACACAGAAAAGCCTGAGGAGGGCTGCTCAGAACCCATCTAGCCTCAGTACTGTGGCTGAGATGTTATGCAGTTTTCATAGAATTCAGACATATGGTGTCACTAAGGGACACACATAGTGCACACAGGGATTTTCTCTAATCTGGTCAGCCTACGCCAGTAGATAGGCCATTTCTGTGTCCAAGGTTATCCACTGCAAGCTAAAACCCATTCTGACTGCTGCTGAAGAAGATTCTCTAGCTGGGAAGACTGGACAGGAGAGCCAGGGAGCAATGCCTACAGAAGAGTCCAGAACCCCTACTAAGCCCATGTAACCAGGGTGGCTCTCATTGCCCACAATCCCTCTTCTGCAATTCTGGCCCTGCTCATTCAACAAAGTGTTAGCAGTCCCAGCAGTTGCACTGGGAGGAATTTATTCTACTGATAATGCTCACTAAGTGTGCAGATATATGCACAATAATGCTTATTCTACCGATCTCTACTTCCCAACTGAAGCATAAATGTCAAACGTCACCAGCAGTGCTCTGGCCAGTTCTCTTGCCAAGGAGGGACATATTTACTGACATATCTGATTCCAGAATTTTCCAGTCACTCTTTGATTATGCTTACTTTTTAAAACACATCCATCTTATGGTGACTTTAAAGATTTCTCTCCCCAGTAGAGGATGGGTTTGTGCCATGACTGGGAGTGAGATGCAGAAGGAGGATGGGCTGCCCTGTCAGTACTTCTGTGCTCTCTCAAGGACAAGGAAACTGCATGATTTGCCATGTGAGGAGCTGTCTTCTTCTGCTGGTCATTGCCTCTGATTTCCATGTGGCTTGTAGTGGTGCCAGTAGACCCCACTGATGACAAGATCACTTCCTAAGATATATCCACCCCCACAAACATTGGTGGTCCTTCCCAAACTCAGCTTCATTTTGGGACTGACCCTAGCAGCAGTTGTTAGCAAATGAACAACTTCCACTTGTAACTGGGAGTTCTAGGCCAGAGGCCCAACTCAGGGTGTCCCACATGTCAGATCCAACCACTCACCTCAAAACACCAAATAAAGAGCCAAACAGTGACACAGGGCAGAGAAAACAGCACGTGGGAAGAAGAAAAGTAAGCTTGTCAGCCTTTCTGGGGTACAGCATGAGGTTTAGTTTTGATAAGAAGAAGAATTGGGCAGGGGGATGAAAGGTATGCATAATAATTGGTTCCAGGCAAAGAGTGGCCTGGTTGATCATTATGGAGGGGTCCCAGAGAAGTTGTTACTGCTGTCAGCCCTTGAGAGGAGCAACCTGGTTATGATAAGGAAGTCACTATTGTCTGTGAGGCAGTTTTGATTCTTGTTACAAGATGTTTACCCATGAGTCCTGTCCTTTCTGGATTCCAAACTGATCACAAGCAGTAAAGGAGACAGATATAAAATGTAAAATGGAGACAGGGATGCCAAGCTTTATCCTGCTTTCAGTTAATTCATGAGCCCAAGTAAAGAATTAGTGTTTTTTATTTTTTAGTGAATGGAGTTTGTAAGTACCTATTATACAGTCTCGTATACCTTCCGTAACTCCCAACTCAGAGCTCACAGGCAAGACCAGGGTCTACGTTGTCCTGATCCTGCAAAAGGAGAGGAACCTAATGTGGGGGCCTTACACTCCCTTCTTCCTGGCCTGGCCATATCATTATTCCATTTCCCATGGCCTCTCCTCCACGCTAAAATCTGTAGGGGATTGGGGAGTGTGGGGAGGAGTATGGGTACTTCCACTTCACCCATAGCCCCCTGCCAAACAAACAAAGCTGAATAAATCAAATACCCACCAATGGGAGCCTGGATAGATTATATTGCAGTCACGCTGTGGAATCCATCCCATAAGATAAGAGGCACGAGTGGCCTTCTCTCTATGCTCACATGGAACGAGCCCTTGGTGTACCACTGAGTAAAAAGGAAGCAAGGGTCAGAGCAGGGCATATAGAGTGGTCCCATTACTTGCCTCTTAAAAAATACATCGTAACAGGGAACATGGGCCTCTGAGTCCATGTCCCTTCTCCGGATCGTCCAATTCAGCCTCTCTTCCACTCTCCTTACAATGTGGGTGATTTTCTGCCTTATTTCGCAAGTGGGTGCCCATTTCCCCAGCACATCCTATGCTTGGACAGCAGGCCAAAGTCTTTAGACTTTCTATTCCAAAGTCTAAAGACAGATATCCCAGTGCAGCAGGAGAGCAGATTCCAACTCCTGGACTCCCACCTCAAAAATCCCTGACATACATAGCAAGTTTTAGCTCTAATTATGTTTGGGTTTCCCACAGATCACAAAGGCATCCAGGAAGAGGCTTACCATGAGCCTGGCATACTCGGAGAGCCACCAGATCCGTGTGTCACAGCAGGATTACCGGCTCTTCCGCACCCTCTTCCTGCTCATGGTCTCTTTCTTCATCATGTGGAGCCCCATTATCATCACCATCCTCCTCATCCTGATCCAGAACTTCAAGCAAGACCTGGTCATTTGGCCATCCCTCTTCTTCTGGGTGGTGGCCTTCACGTTCGCCAACTCAGCCCTAAACCCCATTCTTTACAACATGTCATTGTGTAGGAGCGAATGGAAGAAAATATTGTGCTGCTTCTTGCTCCCAGAAAAGGGAGCCATTTTAACAGACACCTCTGTCAAAAGAAATGATTTGTCTGTTATTTCCAGCTAATTCACTTTGCTCCATAGGTGGACACTTTCACTCCCAGGTGAGCCATGGTGTGCTTTTACAGGGAGTTAATTTTCAGGGCCATCCAGCTGTGTACCCTGCTTTCAGAAAATGCAACCTATGCAAATACACATCTACAGCACTGGTAAATTAAGGGACAATCATTCTGTATAAAAATACTTTTATAAAAGGATTTACTGTGGTTTCCTTTTAAATATGACCTTTTTCAGTGTGTTTGTACTATGATTGAGTTAATAAAGTCTTATTTATAATTGTTCCTACATATAAAGCCTTATGGTTTGGGAAGTGGGTCTTGGAACTGAGTAAGGGCTCAAATTTTTCTTTAAAGGGTCACAGCCACTGTATGCTCACAAGGCCTCAGCAGCATTCATTTATGTCAACAGTGCTTAAGAACTTTCCAAGGAATAATTGAAGGTGATTTAAAAAAAATATTAAGAATGTCATGGGCCTCTTTAGGAGGGGTAGTGTCATGGAATCAGAGTAGGATGAATGTAGATGCTTGAGAGTAAGATTGGGAGTGGATCCCTTTGCTACTCCACCCACCAGAGGCCTCTGAAGCACCCACTGTGGCTGCAGTGTTTGGGTGCTGGGAACGCAGGCAGTGGTGTCACAGACAGCCAGGATTCCTGCTCTAGGGGTGCTCATCCTCTCATAAGGGGGACCAACACTGAACAGAAGTCGATAATCAATACAGCATCCTGGAACGAATAAGCAAGCACCCTGAAGCAAACAGGACGGGGTGCTATGGGACTGAGTCATTTAGATAGGTAGGAAGGGTGCAAGAAAATGTTTCTGAGCAGTGACATTGGCTTGACAGGTGAACTGCAAGAAAAGGCCAGCCATGTGGATCCAGGGAGAGGGGCTTGGCAGACAGAAGAGAGAGGCTGGTGCAAAGAGGCTGGACTTGCTATGGGATGGGGAGAAGAGTGGTGGGACCCAAGCAGAGCAAACTGTTGCCTGAGTCTCCTCTATGCTAGGCACTGTCCTTGACGCTGGGACTGAGGGCTGTCCTGATGGATCCCATCCATGGAGGCCAGAAAACGTCCAAGTCTAGGTGAGGGAGGGTGAGGGAGGGAACATCAGTGTTCAATGGGCACCGGAAGCTTGCAACTGCAGACTGATACGATTCAGTGAGTGAATTTGCATATTATTCTGGCTGCTGTGTAAAGAATAGCCTTTGAGAAGCAAGAATGAAACTGGAAACCAGTTAGACAGTTGCTGAAGTAGGAAAGCTGATGGGGACTTCGGAGGTGGGTGTCCTTAATGATTGATTGTGAGAAATGATCTTGGGATATACTTTGGGAAGGTGGAGCAGAGATACCTAATGGATAGAAAGGATGCAGAATGTAAGAGAAAGACAATTCCAGGTGACTCCTAGATTTTTAGCCTAATGCTGGTTGGATGGTGGGGGGACAGACCACAAAAATGGGGGAAGATTGGGACAAAATGGGGGTGAGAGCCACAAGTTTCATTTGGAAACCCCAGTGTGGCGTAGACATCTGGAGCTTGGGCCTAGACATACAATGATGTTGGAAGGTACAGATGGTGGTTAGAGACCTATGGCTTTATGAAACGCTCAGGGAGAGGATGGAAAAAGGGAAGAGGCCCAAATCAAAGACTCAGCCCAAGAACACACTAATGCTTGGGACAATGGCTGGAACACACAGGCCGGCACTGGATGCTCAAGCAAAATGTATGCTAATCAACTGCTGTTGCCAAGTCAGTCAGCCCAGTAATTGCCGTCATACATGGAGTTTCTGGGCAGCTTGCTTCTGAGGTAAGACTTACCGCAACCACAAACTTAGGGACCAAAAGGCAAGGAGCTTTGTTCATCATTAGCTAAAAGATTTGGCAAATTAAAGCTCTTTTTTGAAGGAATGTGTGGATATCTTATGGGTTGTGAGGCAGAAGCTGAGAGAGCCAGGCTCTGGAGCCTACTGTTCTGTGAGAGGGACAGGCAGAGCTTTCCTATGCCCAACCACCTGTCTCCTCTGCCTCTGTTGGAGAAGAAGGCACATCGGGATGGGGGACGCAGGAAGCTCCCTTGTCCCCTGGAAAAGCCAGCATCCCCTGCCTCCAAACACACTCCATAGATGCCAGTCTGGCGTGGGCAGTGTTTGCACAGCTCCTAAGCACTCTGACAGACATTGCCTCATCTACTCTTTGGTCTACCCTGTCAGGCAGGGTCCGTTTTCCTATATTTCACGAAGAAGCCACTATACCAGCCCTGAACCACACAACTAATATTTGAACTGGATTTTGACTTAAAATCAAGATTCACAGGAACAAAAGTCCTACTGTTTTCCCTAGATGAGAAGCAGAGGCTTCTGGGAACCCCTTGAGAACTGAGGCAGGTGACTTTGCATGCAGTCATACACGGGAATTTGCAAGTTCTGCTACTGCTGTAGGACACTGGTGTTCTGCCCTAGTCCCAACTGCTTCCACTGCCACCTCGTCCTCTTTGCACACTCCTGGTAGGTGACGCTGGCTTCTAGGGCCCCATCTCCCAACCTCCCCCAGGGAAACACAGGTTGTCTCCCCATTTTTAGCACACCTGAAATAAGAAGGGTGGGGTTGTTTCCTAGACCTCAGCCTCTCAACCCCAGTCAGGGTGACCCCACTCTCGGGCTCCAGGCTGACTGAGCCTCAGGCTTACTGTCCTGGCCTGCTCACACTCACCTCCTCTTTGGGCCGCAGAGCCTTGGCCAGGCTGGTAGTCAAGCCTTCCTGGGTTAATGAGGAAAACCCCTTTTCAGGCAGTTGGTAGAAGCCAGTCTTTAATAATGGAGATTATGCACTAGAATGGGCCAAAGGTCATAGATTGTGGGCGGGAAGAGTGTCCTGATATCTAAAAGCTCATCTGTGACTACAAATAAAATTCAACTCACAGGAAGCCAGTGACTGTATTTTAATAAATCAAAGTTTGGAATCCCAAGCCTCAAATGGTCCCTCAGAAAGCTTCAGTAAGATACACATTTGATGTGAACAGATCTGCTCACTCCCATGTATGTTTTTATGTGTACTGAAGGTTTTATGTTTCCTGAGAGAAGGTAAGGAGAGGGGAGCAAACTAAACTCCGAAGATAAATAGAGATGAAGCTGAGAGTTAATTAGAAGTTTTCAAGTGAAACTGTACGTCCTTGATGTTGCTACAAAATGTTTCTTGATAGTTTGCTTTGACAGTAACCTGAAATGCAGAAAACAATGCCATTAATGACAGAAAGGTGGACCCGGTGTTTATGTAGATAATGCATACCAAGGTGGCCTTAGAGCTCTGCTTCATTCAAGTACTTTTTCCTTCAAATCCATCACAGCAGATGGAACTCAAGAAGTGAGATGTGGCAGTAATTCATATGTATCCCCAAGGTTGTTTCTGCAACCCTTTGAATGTTTGGTGGGGCGGGGGGATAGAGGCGGGAGCATTAGGCCCTGTGTGTGAATCAGTGCTTCCTTTATTTCTGTTAGATGTGCCTCATTGCTCATTGCTTTTCAAACTGACTCACTGCTCATCAGGACGTGACAGCCAAGTCAACCTGACCTCAGCCTTGCGGTTTCACAGAATGTTCACTGAGGCCCTGTTATGTGTCACCAGTGGTACCACGAGACTGCAGAAATCTGGGTTTGCGTGCAACTCATCAAACAACTGAAGAGCCTGGTCACTGTTCTTAATCTTTTTTAGCCTCCGTTTTCTCATTGGTAGGATATGGATAATAACAGTGTCTGCTTCATAAGGTGTTTTGGAGGATTACCGGAGGAAACACAGGTAAAGGGCTGTCAGGCTGCACCCGCCCCCACCCCCAGGGTGACATTTCCACACCTTCCTATGTGTTTGGCCTGAGTTCGTATCTGTTTGGTGTAGTGTGTCAGTGAGGCGCCCATCAGAAACACTCAAGTTTGTTCCCATTTTTCTATGTGTTAGCATGACCGTGTTTAGATTTTGAAACCCACTTTCTCATAGGCGTGAGAAATACACAGTGCACATCTTCACCATGTTCCTGACTTTAAAATCAAGATCAGACAAGAGTCATATCCATAAAAAGATCCTCTGGTTGTCCCAAAGGACCCCTTCTAAAAACCTAAGTGAGAAAACCCCAGCTAGTCAGTTTAATGATTTAGTTTCATGGAGAACAAAGGATGCATTTTTTATGAACTCTCTCACTACGTACTATTTCATATATGCCAAAAAAATGTTTGCTGACATTATTCTTTTCTGAACTTGCTCTGTTTATGTCTGTGCTCCTATGTGCTCCTCAGTTCTTTACTGGGAACACTTAATCCTCCCAGCATTAACTCGGCCTGAATTGATTTTTTAGGCACTGGAGACAGGAATGAAATGGCCTGAAGTAGCAGATAAAAAGAAAAGGGTAAGACTGTCCCCTGAAGCTTTACTTATTAAAAGTGCCAGGGTTTTGGAAGAAGGCCTCTGGTCACTCCATTTCCTCGGGGCTCAGGACAAGGCCAGGGAAAGATGGAGCCAAGCAGGCCAGAGCCTTGGTGGAGAAGAGGCTCCTGGTCTCCCTGCTTTCTCTTGGGTGCAGATGTGACGTATATCTGGTCCTTGGCGTTCCTGCAGCCCTGGGGAAGGTCACTCACCATTGTGCTCAATCCACCTGTACTGCCTGTCCAGGCACAGCTCCTCCTGCCTCTGTCTCACCAGCCTCCTTGCCTCGGGGGTCAAGCCACTGGGGTGGCGGGAGAACACAAGGAGTAGCTGTCCGCACACGTGCCGTCCAGATTTAGCAGGCGACAGGAGTACTGCAGGGCGAACGTGTCATAGTCCGTGTCGATGATCCAGTGGTCATCATCTGCAAGCCAGAAAGCCAAAGTTGTCAACCGATGCTTCACTTTCAGCAGGCTGAGAGGTCTGCAAATGCTTCCAGCACCTTCCCAAATTGGCTGCGTTTCCTTAGGCTACTACAAAGCTTTTTGACAGCTTTCCTACAACTGGCCAGATGAGCAAGGTTCCTGCTCTCCTTTACAGAAAAATAGTCCTGGTTAGAGGGAACCTCACTGACACAATGATTCCTTCTCCCATTGACAGTAAAAGACATAGCATCTTTCCAAAGGACCAATAAGAATGTGAGCCCTGGGAAACCACAGAACCATCTTCCCCACCTGCCCTCCAGGAATATCTATTTCTGCCTATTATCTGCTGGCCACCAACTTACCTTACCTCCAGCATTAGGATGTCTTTTTCCATGCTCTGTGCAGCTAGTCCTTCCCCATCCCCCACTTTACCCTACTTAACCCTGCTGTCCTTCTGTCTTGGAGCACTCCATTCTGATGATGGTGGCTTCTCTAGCTCCACCCTAATTCCTGTCCAGGAACCTAGTCATTTCCTAGAATTGGCAAGAGAGTTTCTGCCTTTGGGGGTACAAGTGCCAGCTATCCAGCCCATCAGATGCTCCTTAGAACTTGTCCTCTTCATGACTCCCCAGCAGAGGCAGAGTCAAACCCTGGAAGAATTTAGATCATATTTATTCCTCAAGTCTGGGATGCAAGCAATGAAGATTAAGTGTAAATGAAAGTGGTAAAAGTATCAACAAATGCAGGATGGAAAATACTGTTAAGAATGTACATGTGTGATTTGCCACAGAGAAAGAACAGCATTCAGGTTTATCCAAATACACTATATTCAGATAAAAGTGCCATATTTCCATTTAATTTAGCCTTCTTGTTGACATAACCATGCTGGGACTGAGTTCTAAGCACTAAGTTCTGTGCTAGTCACTGCATAGGCACTGTTTGTTTACTCAGGTATTTCTCACACTGACCCAAAAGTGCATACTATTATTCTCTATTTTACAGATGAGGAAACTGAGGCACAGAGAAACTAATTCACCTAGGATCATGAGAAAAGGGCAGAACTGGGATTCAAACAGGAGAGAGTGACTCCAGAGGTCACATGCTTAACCTTACACCACATTGTTTCCAGCCACTAGATAACTAGGTAAATTGAGGTGTGTGTTGGGGGGAGGGGAGATTTATGTCCCTCTCACACCCAGCTCTTGAAGTAAGGGGCGATCTGCTTATGTAGTGCTCCTTGTTGAAAGAAGAGCCCAGATGTCCCAGCATTAGAGGGTGTGAGGTGTCTGCAGCACTTACCCTAAGTTGCTCCTGGTTGTGCCTCTCTGAGAAACCCTAGAGTGCCAGCCTAGAATGGGGTTCATCCTAAACCCAGGCTCTGCATGAGTGTTGTCACAGGAGAGGGTATGGAGCCCCCTTCTTCAGCTCACCCCTAACCTGATGGGAGAAGGAAGGAGCCATCCCTGTGCCTCCCAGATTTTCCCAGGATGAGCATCAGAGGTCAGGCTCAGAGGATACTCTAGCACAGTGGCTACTGAGCAGTGACCACAAAGTCACTCAGTAGATGCGCCAGGCTTAGAAGCCATACAGCTGCTGAGACCCACCCTCACTATGGGCTCCTCTCTTGGGCTCTTAAACATCTGGGCAGAGTCTTTCTATCACTAGATGAGGCCACTTCTTCCCTGGTTATGGGATCGTTATGTCATCTGGGGCTCCCTAGGACACAAAAGTACCTACCTTCCAAGTATCACCTCAACTCATAGTCCAGGCAGCTATTTCCTTGGCATATTTGCAGCTTAAAAATATTTTTTTCCCCAAAATTGTGGCCAGAATGTGAAATCTGACACAGGAGTTAAGTGAAATCTGACACAGGAGTTAAGTAACTTTCAATGCATGGTTTTAGTACAGTTGGTGACTGCTCCTGACTTAAAAGAAGGCCTAAGTTGGTTTGGTTTTTCTGGAGGCTCCTTTTGGCAGAATAGTTCAAAGATGAGGAGTTTAAATCTTAACAACCTTGGCCTGACTTTCCCTTCTAAGAGTATTTGCAAGAGAGGATCTGCCTGAGCGCTGCTAGAAAGAATGAGCCTGCCCCTCCAATCTCCTATCTCCCTACAGCTGGGCAGGGTGCCTCTGGAGAACCAGACACCCACAGATGCTTCCATACAGCAGTGTTGGAGGCAGTGGCTATGTGACCAGGGATCCCTGACTAACTCCCCCCACAAAAAAAAAAAAAAAGAGGTTCCACTACAGTTCTGTCTATACTATATCCCCATAAGTAGGTTTAGAGTCACCAAATGCCTGGCAGAGGCAACTCTTGGTGTCCTGGTTCTATTGAAGATCTGTCACTCACCCCTATTGGCCTGGACAATGTCCCTTCAGCTTCCTATACCTGTGCCTTCTAATCATCCAAAGTGACAAACCAGGTAGGAAGCTCCCTGGGTTCTCAGGCCTGACAGTCCAGCAGAGCCAGGCCAGAGAGATATTTTATGCTATTTCCAACTAATCATCACAACAATTAAGCCAAAGCCGTGGTAACATAGGTAGAATCTGATACCTCAACACTTGAGTAAGTTAATTAGCTTATTGGATTGAATTATCTTGACCAGTGGTTTTCAAACTTCATTGTGCAGAAGGAACATCTGAAGACTATAACAAAAATGCAGGCTCCAGAGCTGCAACCCCAAGAGTTTCTGATTTAGGAAGTCTGGATTTGGGTCCAGAAATGTGCATTTTTAACAAGCAATGCAGTTGATTTAGATACAGGTGGCCCAGAAACCCTGATTTCAAGAAACACTGATATAGCCATTCAAGTAAGCGCTCTTATTTAACCTGACAAGGTCTCTTGGCTGGCAGAGTGACAGACTACATTTGGGACAAGAACAAAAGGAGTCTTTGTCCATGTCTTTCTGGGAAGGCCCAAAACAATGATGATCATAGTTAATATTTCAATTTAGCACCTCTTATGCATCAGGCTGAACATTTTCATGCACCTTGATTAGTTCTCTCAACAATCTTATTAAATAGGAACTGTTATTTATCCCTATTTCATAACTAAGAAAATTAAATTTCAGAGAGGCTAGCCCATGGTGAGGCCAAGATAGGCTGATGTCAACATCCTCAACCTCTGAGACAGCCCTCTTACTGCTGGTGGAGCCAGAAGAGAAGGAGGCCAGTCCAGAGCATACCCAAGGCTGGGGCAGCAAGCCAGAGCAGAGTCTATTAACTCTGAAATTTAATATTCGACTGTAAAGATTTACCACATTTCATTTTAGAATAAATTGACAACAAATTTAGTGAGCATTTATCCTTGAGTTATTTTCTCCCCATCAGCATGAGTCATTGCAAATAAAATATACCCATTGGGTGAGATACAGTATGTGGAGAAAGGGAGAGACTGAAAAAGGCTACGTGATCTTTAAGTCTCCTGTTCAAGATCATACTTAATTCAAGAACAAGGGAAAGTAAGAAAGAAATTAGCTTGGAAATTAGGAACGGAAATCAGAGTTTGTAAAGAAGGCCAGAAAAGAAGCACGTGAAACAGCAGAAGGTAGGTACATCGAGTGATAGTTTGTGAGATACTCAGAAAAGATAAGGGTGGTGCCCTTTTCCATCACCTGGGTTAAGAGGTGTCATTAAGTGACACCAGTTAGCTGTGTGATCCTGGGCAGTCACTCAATTTCTTCACTTGTAAAACAAGAAACTTGAACCCAGTGGTCTCTGTGAGTCCTTCCACTCCAGACCAGAATGTAAAGCAATGATTTCTTGATCCAAAAGGTAACTAAGAATTTATGTCTTAGGCACTGTTTCAAGTGCTTTCTGCCTATCTCATCATAACACAACTCCACGAGGTAGGTGCTCTGATCACCTATACTTTGCAGAGGAGGAAACTGAGGCACAGAAAGGCTGAGAAACAATACAAACATTGGTGGTGTTTGAGTTGGGATTTAAACTCAGTCTAATTTTAATGGGGCATGATTAGCCCCTACACCACCCAGCCTCTTTTCTGAAAGGCAACCTAAGGAGGAATTTACCCTTAAGCCTTCCAACACTATAGTTATCTCATTCAATAGCTATAGCAATCACAGAAATTCAAGCATTCGATACACCCTATCCTAGATAGAATCCCCACATACAAGAGATAAAAGGACCTCCCTGGGTCCTCTCTCACTCTGACCCTAAAGGCATTGTCAATACAATTCTATTCCTTTAAGGGGCAGATCTCAAAATGCTTCTTAAAATTAGTAACCTCGCACCTCCTGGCATTGGAATTTGTAATCCATCATCAGAAAAGCATAACTTTACTCTAAATGAATCACTTAAGGAAGTTTTGTCCCACTATTTGAAATAATTTTCATCAGTTTTAAGGAAAAAGCTTTCTCCTCTTGCAGTATAGCAACTCTTGTACAGTGTAAACTAACACTAAAAATATAACTTGATTAAAAAATGTAAGTTTTTGAGACAGTGTCTCACTATGTAACCCATGCTAGTCTTGAACTTGCAATGTTCCTGCCTCAACCTCCTGAAAAAAAAATGCAATGTCCTCTAACTAATGACTTTTGAGGAAGTTAAGGAGTGCATAGCACAGGCAGAGCGGTGATGCACGAAGGATGCTCCTGCCCTGGGTCACCAACTGAAACAAATTTAACAGCCCTGGATCCTGTCTCACCGGAGTGTTCAAACAATACTTTGCAAAAACCGGTCTCTATTAGGAGACCCTGCAATTCAGAACTACCTAATCCAGGCCTGGTAGGTAGAGATCTACCTGGCTTCTGACATCTACTCTCACAAACTTGCTGCATGACCTTGGGTAGAGCACTACCTTCTTTGGGTCTCTCTTTCTTCATCTATATCTTGAGCTCCCTTCCCAGGGTTAATTCTCCCTTTCTGAGATCCCCTGATATGTCTTCTCCAGCTTGCATTATTCTCTAGCTACTGAGTAGGCCCTAGATTAGAAACTTTGGAGAAATGGGTATGTGTGGGGGCTGACAGAAAGAGCATGAACACTGTGTGTCCTCCTGATTAGGGTGTCCTACTAAGAGTTCTCAACAGAAGTAGCAAAGAAGGGCACCGGGCAACCAACCCTACACACAATGTTCCTTTCATCCTTGAATGGGGTTCTCAGCCTCTGCTGAGAGCCCAAGCAGTCAAACTGTATCAGGGATTCTGCCCAGAGAGCCCAACTACAAATCCAGGTGGAGTTGGTGATGTGGGGAGGCAGAAGAGAAAAACTATGGAGCAGATAACACAATCAGGCACAGTGGGCTGAAATAGAAAATGGCACCTGGTAAACTCAAAGGTCCTTTTGAGGTTGTGCCAGGTTTCTAGAGCTGGGGTGAGGGGAAACTAGTCATTCCCAATCCCACCCCCTTACCCTCAGGCAGAGCTGCCACTTATAGACAGACCTTCCCACAGGCCATTCTTCCCAAGGGTGCACTGGAGAAGAAACCCAGTGATTGGCCAGCTGTGCCTCCCATCCCCAAAAAGGTCAGGTTGAGCTGACTACTCACTTCCTCTCTGGAGAAAAGAGGCTACTCCCCAGTACTTCATCTTGAACTTGGCAGGGTCTTCGGTATCTGTGAAGGTGCCTACCATGTCTGCGCACACTTCCCAGTTACTGCAAGAGCCAAGGGGATCTTAAGCCAAACCAGGAAAAGTGCTTCCCCCTTCCATCCTACCCCAAGGGCCCCCTTCCCTCCCTAGGTAGGGTTTGGCGTCCAGCCAGGCAGGGCCAGCGGGACACTGGAACACAAAGCACACAGCAGCCCAGAGGCCACTGACCTCAAGAGACGGACTCGGCCTTTGGCCGTGGCGCTCATCTGGCCATTCTCGTCCACAGAAAACTCTGCGATGATGTTATCTTGCAGAAAGAGACCCTCAGGGTCCTTCTTAGCTATGGCATACCAGGTCCCAGAGAACTGCGAAAGGGATGGAGGGCGGGGATTTGAGGTCTGGGGCACCACGGCTGCCCATCGGTAATTAGGGGAAGAGAGACCTAGGCCACCTGAACGGCCAGAGCCGATACCTACGCGAGCCTTGTCGAAGTTCTCCTTGACTCGGAAGTTGCTCACCCTGCAGTCGCGCTCCGCCCAGCCGCTGCCCAGCGCCGCCAGCAGCACGAGTGCCCACACCCACTCCATCGTGCCCAGGAGTCCACCCTGCGGGAAACGCGCCGCCGTGACCATCGGTCCCACTGCTGCCGCCCCGCCGCCCCATCCCGCCCCGCCGCCGGCCCCCGGGGACCGCCCGGTCCCGGCTCACCACCGGGAGCCGTGCGCAAGCCTGGCCGCCGCGTCCGGGCGCGCGTGGAGCGAGGGAGCGAGCGCCCGCCCGCCGCCCCGCCGCTTTATAGCTTCGGGGAGAGGGGGTCGCGCTTTCGTAACCGCGCGGGGTGAAAGACCGAGGGGAGGCGCCGGGGGCTGGCCCGGCCAGCCCTTGCATAACGCGCCCTGACTCACAGCCGCCACGGCGCAGGCATGAGGCCCCTTTGGGCCACCCTCACCTCCAGTGTCCACCAGGGCTTGGTGCAGCTGCCGCGCAGGGTGGCCTCGGCAAGGCCAAATTCTCCAACGGCCACCAGCCGCGGAGCCAAGCCCTGGCCCGGTTATTCAGCGCTTGTGCCAGCTGCTGGCCACTAGCTGCAGCCTGGGGTGGCCTCCAAGGCCCAGTTGCCCTGGCTGGAGACTCACATTGGCCTGGAGACCTCAAAGAGGGAGAAGGGAGGGACCTGTGATGCTGTCTGGTCATTATAGCCCAGGCCCTGGCTGTGCCAAATTGGCGCCTTCTCCTTTTAATAACCAGTTGTGTAGGGTTGGGGAAATATTTTGGCCAAGTGGTTTTTCCTTTTATAAAGGATGTATTTTACTTTTTGAGGACAGTTGTGGTGCACTGTGTCAATATTTGTTTTTTAGTTTCAACATCTTTAGAATAACTGAAACGCTCCCTGTTAAATATTCTCTAGAAATGCAACCCTGGTCAGGACAGGAAATATTTTAGCAGCCTCAGTGGCTGAGTTGGCTGAAACCACTTTGTAACACGTATCTGCCAGTTGTTTATGATGTGCTTTTATTTCAAAGCCATATTGGGATTTTGTTTTGTTTTCAGAACAGCAAAGTGAGTGGCTGAGCAGTGGGAGAAGGAGGAGAGTGAACAAATTCTGTAAGGTCAATGGTCATGAGTCAGAAGGCTTTGACTTGGCACTGTGTTTTGTCATGGCACAATTTTCTCCTATTTCTCTCTCCACTCAGAGCTAAAGAATTCTACAATCTGATAAAAAGCAGTGAAGATGCAGATTTTGGCTGAATGAGAATTAGTGATAGGGCAGAGTTTTGTTAAGAGTCCTTCCATCCAATGAAGTTGGCTTCATTGCCCACACTGACAGAACCAGGTGGTTCTTCTGTTGCAGCCAGACCAAAAGCAAAAGGTGATGGTTCCAAATCAAGAAATAAGGAGTTGATTTGTCCTTAGGCCAGCCCTTTAGCTGTTTCTGATTCACCTGAAAAGACACCCATGGCTTCCTTCATCTCTCTGTAACCTTTTTTTTTTTTTGAGACAGGGTCTCATTGTGCAGCCGTGGCTGGCCTCCAACTCAAGGAGCCTCCTGCCTCAGCTCCCCTAGTTTGGGGATTATGGGCAGAGGGCCCCTGTGCCTGAAACTTTCTATAACTTTTTGGAAATCTACCTACCTGGTTATTTGCTTCTACTTCCCACCTTCCTCTCCATTCCTGTATCCATTTGCGTCCCAGCTGTCTCTGGGATGCCAATGATGATGTGTTTTACTTCTTATTACCCCAGAGTTTGGAAAGCCTGTTTCTGGCCAAGGAGCTAACTAGGAGATCTGGTTGTGCTAGTTTCACCAAAGGGTTTAGAGTTGCTCCTCCATACCAATGATGAATTGATTCCAGGACCCTTGTGGATACCAAAGTCTGAAGATGCTCAAGTGCTTTATATAAGGTGGCATAGCATTTGCATATAACCTGTGCACATCCTCCTGTATATTTCAGATCATCTCCAGATTGCTTACAATGCCTAACACAATGTGTTATATAAATAGTTAGGGAATAATGACAAGAAAAATGTTTGTACATGTTCAGTATAGACACAATCATTGTATGCTGCTATGTAAACAGTTGTTAACTGTATTGTTTGGGGAATAATAACAAGAAAGAAAGATCAGTAGAGGCCTGATCAACCTAGGCCTAGCTACATACTGCATAAACAAGACAGAAGGCAAACAAGTGCTGGAGAGAGACTGAGAGTCTGAGGAGTAGTGGAGACCATAGCAGGGTCTGTCACTCCCACAGATTCAGCATAGTGCTCCATGTGCAGCAAGTTCATTCTGCTTTTTTTTTTTTTTTTTTATCTTCCTAGAATTTTTTTCCTCAAATATTTTTGATTCACTATTGGTTGAATCTGTGGATGCAGAATCCAAGGATAACTGGAATTCCAAACAACCCAAATAAGGTGTGCTGTAGAGCTCCTCCGCAGGAAGCAGGTGTTCGCTGGCATGTGTCTGTGTATAGTATATATCTATATATCTGGGATGGGAAGGGATTTCAGGGCACTTCTATCTCCCATTCAGTGCTTGGATCCCCTCTTCCATGTTACAGAGCACAAGTCTTCCCATTTCTGCTCAACTCCTCCAGTGACAGACAGTGCCTGACTGAGCCTAACTGCCTTTGGACAGTTATTACTACCAGAAAAGTTCTCTGAATCCCTGCTGGCCCTTTCAACTAATTCTCCTAGAAGACACTCCGCTGGTCCCTGTGCACACTGTATGTGGAATAAATGCAGGAGATTTCAATGCATTTTTATGTGATTTTTTTTCACAGCAACATGTGTTCATTTATTTCTTAGGTGTTTACAAATCCATTTTTCTCCTCTTCTTTCCCTGTTTTAATGAAACATCATGAACTGTAATGTTGTAGATACCAGCAAGGAAAAATAGTTTATTTTGGCCTCCTCTCTTGGCTTTCTTCATGATAACAAATATGTGAATTCAGGTCAACTGATGTTTTTAATGTCAGCGCTTTGAAATTTATCCTCATAAAATAACTTTTCAAATATGCATATATACATAATATCAAAGGAAAAGTGTTCATAGTGGTTACCTCTGGGTGATAGGACTAGAGACATTTAAAGTTTATTTTTCTTTATACCTTTTGTATTTTTCAGATCTTCTACAGGGAAATTGTTTAATCAGAAAATAAAATAAATACTTTCTTTGCCAATATTTTCCTTGCTTTTTGTCCAGAAGTAAAATTATGTTTTAAATTACATCTTATGATTGTATATAATTCACACAAAGTTTGCCTACTTGCCGTGCTTTATAGAGAAACAGGTCATGTTTAGTTCATGTTGACATCGCCTCCCCACCCCCAGACTGCATAAGAGACTTGTGCGTACGAGGGGCTTGATCAAGAGATGTTGATTCAATTTTTTGGTCCGATGTCACCCTTCCTAATATCTGCTTACTCAGGACTTAGCACTTGTAGCACAGATGGATACTTATCCTTCCAACAAAAGAAATCTGCACTCATGGGTTTTGTCTGCCAGCCCTTTCCTCCCTGTACCCCTTTCCAATACTCTATAAACCCGTGGTCATAGTTCCTGGTCTATGGAATGCGTCACGTGTCACTCACAGACAAGTTTTACAAAAGAGGTCTGTCCAGTCAGTCATTCATGTCTCTCTTTTCTTCTCATCTGCTAGGGTGGAGCCTCCAACAGCCTGGGCCTCCTTTTTTGACTGAATTTATGTGAATGAGGAACAAACTTCTATTGGATTAAGCTATTGAGATTTGAGGGATTACCTGCAGTCCCTCAATCAATGTTAATGTTAACACTAGCAGCAGCAAACAAGTCACTAACTGCTGGAAAATACTGAGAAATGTTACTATAATTGAAAGAAGAGCTAATGCAAGATATTTATGATCTTATCCTCAAACAAATTAAGCATTTTCAACCACTCCATTTTGTACAAACTGACACATTTCCAAGATGACAGAGAAGCCAGGAAAAATGAACAGCAGGGAAACTGGGCAGCATTCATCCTCTGACTGCATTTAAAAATGCCAAAATCAGTGGTTGAAAAAGGAAGACATTAGTAGCCAACTTTTTCAGGTAAAAGGAGTCAAACTAATTTTTTCAATAGTGTTTCTTCAGTGGTTTTAAAGCCATCCATCAACTTTACCAATTTAGTTGAAATTGGTATGGATCCCACCCTCTGAATTGTCTCCGAAATACCTGGTCATAGTCCCCAGTTTGATGCAGAGAGCTCTCCTGAGAGCAATGTGCAGATGAAGGATGTGCCTGAACTCCTGTGCGTCGGGGCTGCCCTTCCATGGTGGACAATGTCGGGAACAGAGGGTGTGGCCACGGTAAGGTGGCTACAGACTGAGTCCAGTGGAATGATCAGAAATTCTCTTAGTTAACCCTGGCTGGTGTCGTTGGCGCTTCAACCTCATATGCACGTTTTTGGTTATTATATAAGGATAACTTTCTGGAGAAATAGCAGCAGTGGAACATTTTCTCAGTGGTAGAATTAAATGTGCTTATATATAGAATACCTCTATACATGCTTATATATAGGATGCCCATGTGTTAAACAGAAGTTGAAGGAAGTTAAATCATTCTTTGATACATCTGTAGGTTTTTGAAAAAGTTGCATGAAATTTTTATTGAATTCTTATATTAGTGTGAAGCATTTTATGGTACTTGTCTGGATTTTAAATCCCTGAAGAGTCTTTGTATATTTGCAAGTGGTGTGATGTCTCTTTCACCTAATTCATGATCTTTTAAATTTGGTCATGACCAGGCTGAATAATACTCCATATTGTATATATACTGCATTTTCTTTACTCGTTCTTCTGTTGATGGACACCAGGCTGATTCTCTATCTTAGCTTGTGAATGATGCGGTAAACATGGGTGTGCTGGTGTCTCTTTTATGGTGATTTCATTTCCTTTGGGTATGTACCCAGGAGTGGTATAGCTGGATCATCTGGCAGTTCTATTTTTAGTGTGGAGGAACCTCAGAATCGTTTTCCATAGTGGCTGAACTACTTCATATTAGTGCACTAATTCTATATTCGTGTATAAGGGTTCTTTTTTCTCCACATCTTTGCCAGCATTTGTTATTAAAACATTTTTTGATAATAGCCATTCTAACTGGGATGAGGTGGAATCTCAATGTACTTTTGAGTTGCATTTCCTGATGGCTAATGATATTGAGCATCTTAATATATTTATTGGTCATTTGCATTTCTCTTTTTGAGAATTGTCCAGTTTTAGATTGGATTATGGTTTTTGTTTTTGT